AAAAAAAAAAAAAACCAACCTAAAAAATAAAAAAGCAAGTGAATAGGAATAGGGGTGTCGTTTCTCCTGGAAAAACTGCTTCCAGCTGACTTAGTGGGCGTCGGGTAGCTCTTGGGGGGCCGGGTAAGGAAGGGGGCCTTCTGAGGTAAACAAAGGTTCTGGGTTGATGGGCAGTCCTGCTGCCCTGGAGCCCTCCATCCCTCCTGGATTGGCAATTTTGTTCTCAGGCTTTTTATCTCTCTCCCCTGGCACACCTTAAATGCCACAGGTGAGACTTTCTCCTGTGGGGTCAGGAGCCTTGCTCTCCAGATGCTTAAGTTTTAGTCCTATGGGAGAGGGGAAGGGTCTGGGGAACAAGAGACAGATTTTACGCCGTGTCTTGAATGTTTTTGGTGTCTGCTGACTTGAGGACAGCTTTTGGAAATTACAATGCAGGTTTTATTCACCCAGATTCTGGGGATAAATTCAGGAATATGCACACCACTTTACCCCACCAAATGCTTAATCGTAAAAGCTACTAAAGAGCCAGATGTGGCAGCATACGCCTCTAATTCCAGCACCCTGGAGGCAGAGGGATAAGGATCTCTGTGAGTTTGACGCCAGTCTGGTCTACAGAGTGAGATCCAAGACAGCCAGAGCGATGCGGTGAAACTGTCTTTAAAAAAAAAAAGGTTACTAAAGAGAAGGAGTTGAGGTCGCATTTCTTCAACTCAGCTACCTCTCTCCCCCATTGTTTCCCCCAGGGAAGTCAAAGGATTCAAAAACTGAAAAGAAATCAGGGCTAATTCCAAAAGAAAAGAAACCAGGCACCAAAATGAAGAGGGCACACAGAGAAAGGGACGTGGAGACGGCAGCAGAGCGGAGCGAGCCCGAGGACACAGGTGGCACCTCAGAGGGAGGGCCCCTCCGCTCACACTCTGCCGCTGAGGACCCTTGGCTTTCTCCTGAATATGATGCTCTGGAGAGCCAGGTGTCTATAGATGGAAGATCATCACCCACACAGGCCATGGGTGTCACTACCAACATGGAATCTGAGGAAGAGAGAAGCCCCGAGGACCCTTCCAAGGTATGGGCAGGTGTTCTCTCCTCTTGGCCAGAGGAAGCTCTGTCCTCATGGGGCAGAATGCAGATGTGAGGGAAATGATCCTAAATAAGCTGCACTTTCTGAAACAGCTCTATTACGTGGTGATATATTTTTTTTCTTCTTCTTGAGACAGGGTTTCTCTGTATAGCTCTGGCTGTCCTGGAACTCACTCTGTAGACCAGGCTGGCCTCGAACTCACAGAGATCCACCTGCCTCTGCCTCCCAAGTGCTGGGATTAAAGGCGT